AATCTCTGTTTTCAATCAGACACATAATTCCAGTGAACACACAGTTCACCGAGGTTAGAATTCTGGGGCTTGATGCGAGACTCTCTATTTGGCATTGGAAAGCAGTGTGGAATTGTCTCAGGAGTACCTGGGGTTGGAGGCAGCTGACCTAAGGTCTGTCCTTGACTCTTCTACTCTCTAGCAGTGGATCAATGATGAGGCTTATTTTAAGGATTCTTGAGAAACAATAGTAATTTCAATGAGGGGAGATTAATTAAATATGTTAAAACCATCAAGATAATTGAAATACTACACTACCATTCTTGTTACATGTCAGAGATGTGTATAATACATTGTATGTGCAAAAATTAGTTTACCAAACAGAATTTCAGTGTAATCTTTCTTTTTTCTAATTAAAAAATATCCTCTCACCCCAGAAAAAGCACCCGACACTGCACAGTTTATGTATGTGGCCTAAAACTCATATACTTATCTATATATTTGTATATGAGCCTAGGATGTATAGAATAACTTAAATATTATATATTCAGATAACTAGTTAGCTTACTGAGATATAAAATTAGAGCCCTGTGCTTGACGATTCCTATGGATTTCATTTATTTTGACTGTCCTTACTTTCTGTATTTCTTGGTGGTATTGAGTACTTATTTTCAGAACTATTGCGCCTCATTTTTAATGAGAAGAAATAAATATTGACCACAGGTGGTTTTCTTTTTTCTTTCTTTTTTTTAAGCATGAAGCCTGGGAACTGAAAACCTTGGAAACCTTAATGCTGTGTAATGTGCAGGTGCTTTTGTTGTTTATAGAAACGCCTAATCCTTGTTTGAAATTTGTTAAATAGTATGCCATTGTAAGCCTCCTCAAATTCCATAGATTAATTGGCTTTTAAAGTCAGGCTGTCTTTTACCTGACTTTCAGTATAAACTCTCCCATCTGGAAACCTTCTCTTTGATGTGCTTGTTCAGTGTTCTGTGTACTTCAGCACTCTGGGATTAAGTATTAATTATGGACACCGACATTCTCAGTAACAAGGAAGATCGCTAACAGTAACAATAGACTGAACAAATGGTGTCATCCAGAGAATAGTTCGGACTTGGTAAATACTCAGTCCATCATGGCTTTGCCACTGATGTGTGAGTGAGTGTGTGTGTGTAGTGTTACTGAAGATTTGGGAGAGTTATTTTGCAAGAAAGTTTTATAGATGATGATTATATAAGATGAGTGTTCTTGGGAACCAGCAGTTAGCGTAATGGCTATGTCGCTGGACTCCCACGTAGTCAACCGCGGTTCATGTCCCGGACCTGGTGGCTTAAAATTCACGCCGGGCACGTGTGCGTGCGTGCCCAAGATCCCGAGAGGAGAATGGAGGAGAAGGGATTGTGGCGTGACCATCCTCCCTGGGGGATGATTTCTCGCTTTCTGTCTCTATGTCTCTCTCTGTCTGTCTGGCGAGCGCACGTGCCCTATAGCGAAAACCTCTCAAAAAAAAAAAAAAAAAGATGAGTGTTCTTAAATTAAAAGAAAAAAAGGGTCCTGAAAAAAGAAAATTCACTATATCTTTTAGTTCTCTGAAAAAGCAAATTCAAAACTGAAGGCATGATTTGCCTTCCCCCCCTTTTAGAAATTCATT